GGGGGTGTTGGTCGACAGCGGACTGACTGAACATGAGCCAGCAGTGTGCCCAGGTGGCCAAGAAGGCCAACAGCATCCTGGCTTGTATTAGCAATGGTGTGGCCAGCAGGACCAGGGCAGTGATCATCCCCCTGTACTCAGCACTGGTGAGGCCGCACCTCAAGTGCTGTGTTCAGTTCTGGGCCCCTCACCACAAGAAAGACCTTGAGGGGCTGGAGCGAGTCCAGAGAAGGGCAACGAAGGTGGTGAAGGGTCTGGAGCACAAGTCTGATGGGGAGCGGCTGAGGGAGCTGGGGGGGTTTGGTCTGGAGAAGAGGAGGCTGAGGGGAGACCTGATCGCTCTCTACAACGACCTGAAAGGAGGGTGTAGCCAGGTGGGGGTTGGTCTCTTCTCCCAGGTAACAAGAGGACTAGGTAACTAGGACAAGAGGAAATGGCCTCAAGTTATGCCAGGGGAGGTTTAGATTGGATATTAGGAAGAATTTCTTCATCGAAAAGGTTGTTAGGCATTAGAACCGGCTGCCCAGGGAAGTGGTGGAGTCACCATCCCTGGAGGTATTTAAAAGACGTGTAGGTGTGGTGCTTAGGGGCATGGTTCAGTGGTAGACTTGGCAGTGATAGGTTAACGGTTGGACTTGATGATCTTGGAGGTCTTTTCCAACCTAAAAGATTCAATAATCCTATGATTCTTGATGAAGAAAGTCAAGAAGGCGATAGTTGTCACTTCTTCAAGTAGTGGTGAATATCACTTGTATTTGCCAAACGCAGAAAGAACACCTACTGACAGCAGAGGCTCTGCTTCTGCCGACACTTTTTTTGATGGTATAAACACCACTCCTTGACATCTATCATAAAGGCTTCATTCAGTTCATTATCCGTTTTTGAAAGAAAAAAAAAAAAAGAGGCAGTATGCTGGCCTGTAGTTATGTGTGAAAATAAATACAGTGATCCTTTCCTCTCAGGTTTCAGAACAACTTCTCCAGCTTCCCATGCTGTGTGAAAATAATTTGAGGGAGCAAAACATAGAAACAAACTTTTGACTTAGTTTATTTGTGAAATATGTGTGCTTTATGTATTTGAATATATAAATTGTTCAAGTTGCAAGCTTTTTAAGACGTGTTAATAGCAAAAAAGGAAACAATGCCAACTAAAGAGAGTGCAGTTTGGAGTAAGGATCCCTGTGGCCTTGTTCTCTGAAGCTCTGAGCTGCCTCTCTCTGCTGATTCATTAGTTTGCATGCAAAGCACTGAAACCTAAATTTTCAAGTGTAATTTAATTTGGAGTGTATTAACATCTAGTTGCCTGAACGAATAGGCAAGTCAGTCTTGTCCCAAAGATGGGTATCAGGGAGGGTTGGGACTGAGGAAAAATTGGTGTCTCCTGAACTCAGATTATGTTATGAGATGCAAATGAGGACAGTAGGGCACAAGGATGCAAGAGTCCTCTGAGCAGCCCTCACCCCCTTGGCTAAACCATGGTGTACTTACTCTGCTGGGGCTGCTGTGGAAGGAGGACAGAGCAAAGGCAGCAAACTATTTCCCTGTCACAAGCCCTTCTCCATCACATGGGTCAAGTCTGCATCAAGGATAGCACTGAGCAAGTGCTTGGCGAGTGCTGAGTGCTGGTAGTTCAGCAGTAACCAGGTGGGAACAAAAGCATCAGTAGATGCAGTGAAACCCAAATGTCATAATGTTTAGCGGAAACTTCCTGACATGACTAATCCAAGAGATTCACGGGGCAAGTCTTAGTAAATATCAGTTGAATATATTTTTCTGTAATTAATATTCTGTCAGGTGATCCTAACCATTAACAGGTGCTTCTTTAAAGAAACAAGGAAATATTCCACTAGACTAAGGAAGGTGTCATGTAATGGAGTATAATTGGTGTGGGATTTGTATTCATTAAAGGCGAAGCTCTGCCTCCACTGGTGGCTCTGGACTGGCTTGGTACGTGCTCCACGGGGGAGGATGCTGCTTGAGCCCTCTGACAGTATGTTGTTGAACATTCCGCTCCATTTCTGCAATGCTAAAAATAGTTGTCCTCATTTTAAAACACCAGGCTATTAGATTATTCCAAGGGTCTGGCATACTCAGGGTAATGGAAGGCACGTATCCATAAATTATCAAAACAGTAAGTAGTGTTTGACCATGCTGATTTTACTTCTATTAAGATGAGTTTCCTTGGTAGTGACCCTGGAGTACCAAGCCTATTCTGTAAATCAAGGTCCTGGCAGTGCCCCAACAAATTTAAAAATAAGAGGAAAAATGTTTGGTTTCCATATTGAGGTTGGAGAAGCATCTAACTGCTTCTTGGTGGTTTTGTTTTTTTAAAAATTCTGCAGAATCATATCTGTAAAATACTTAAAGTATTTTACAGTAATTGTTTCTCTTTCCCAGCCTTGAAGAGAATCTCATGAAGTTCCAACATGTTTGTCATTGTAAATCATGTTAATGCCTAAAATGTTCCAAATAGCAAAATGCATTCCAAGTGATTGATACAAATTTCTGTCTCTTTTTTTTTTTTTATGATTAGATAATGTCATGCCTATTTCATTTTTGGCACCATATTGTTTTGTAGTACAAGTAACCAATGCACTTAGTTCACATACTTGTATGTTAAGATGGCCTTTCCTTTTATTTTTTAATCTTTTTTAATGTGAAAGTCTCTTATTTAGGAACAAATAGCTAAGTGTGGATGTCAAGGTATAAAAATTAATGTAAATACATTCTAAGAAAGTTGCTAAGTACACAAATACAAAGCATCTTACTCCATCTTGAAAACGTTTAGATATAAACTGAATCTAATTTTATAGGGTGTTGCAGTGCAATTACAACCTGCAAAGTCAATAAATGATAAATACATTAAGAACCATGATTATAAATACACGGCATGTTTCCAAAACAAAGTAAAGCAAGCACTACATTAATAATTTTATATTTAATAAGAATCTCTATTGATATAGGAGGTTATTTTTGCATTGTTCTGTTGAGGGGATAATCATTTGTAGAACATGGATTGAACAGTGCAAGGCAAAACATCTATGGCTTGTCTTACAAAAAAATAGTGAATGTGGTTTTCATTCTAGTTTCTGGTGATCCAGTATAGCAGGGAAGATGAAATATTATCTGGTAACTATTAGACTATGAAGAACTTCTCTGAATTCACGCTGTAAATTTGGAGAAAACAAAGGACTAAGGATTACTTGTAATGATTAATTAGAATTTTTCCCCAGCACGCTAGCATCTATTTTTACAGAGGGGAGCTGGAAGGAAGGTGTTGGAAACTGTGCCATGAGTGGAGTTAGAAAAATGCCATTTTAACACGCTATTTTAAGCTGTATTTTAATTGCTGTATCTTATGAGTGCTTTGTATTTATTTGCTTAATTACTTGTATCATTTTGATGAGTAATTGTTCTTTTATTGGCTCTTTCTGTTGAGAGATTGGAGTTTTTCCTTTGTCTCTGTTCTTTTTTTGTGTCTGTGAGGCATTTGTCTTCTGCTTGGCTTGGAATCAGATGAGTGAACTTTCAAAACTTTCTTTTGTTGCTGAATTCTGCTTGGCTAGAAAACTGAATTGGATAGTGTGTGAGTTACTAGGGCAAACTTCTGTCAAGGAATTAAGACCCATGAATGGAATGGAGAAAGCATTTGATTTTAAATTCCTTTAAGTCTTCTAAGCTCCCACTTGAAGTCATATGAGCACGGATGAATTCTTCTTACAGAACTTAGCTCAGTAATTTTTGATTTTCTGAGACCAAAAGTAATGTACTGCATGGTGGCATATTTCATGAATCTGTAAATGGAGGGAGGTTCTTAGCTTTGAGTGGCAGAGCCTGGCTCTCACTGGGTCTGTAATTGTTTAACACACTTTGCTAAGAAGGATCGGAAAAGGAAACAGCTGCCATATTTTATATTTTAATGGTAATTGAAATATTACCAGATTTTTAACTAACCTTTTCCTTGGAAAGCCCTATATTAAATGCAGTGTTGAATTATCTGTAGCTTTCAACTTGGAGCTATTAATTTTTATTTTTTTTTCTCTTTTGCTCAACTAGTCCTTTTTCAGATATTGAAGATGAAGTTTACCATGTTACTCAGCTTGGATAGTTACCTTTGAGAAACCTTTTTAGCAAGGTGCTTGTTTGTACTTATGCTCAGTTGTTGAGCATAACTTTTAAGCATCCAGTTTCTTGAATGGAATTTACAAACCCAAATCGGATTCTTAATTTTCCTGAGCAGTGCAAGGAGAAAGTTATTTGGGGGGCAGGAGGTGACTAACAGTCAACCGTACAGCTGGCTGACTTTGCTCTTGTAAAACATGGGGTAGAGGAGGCAGTAATTTAACAACGTATACGGAACATTCACTTATGAAAGGGGAAACAGATTTTTGTCTGCCTGATTGCACAGGATCAAGATTTGCATTTCTTCTTGCTGAGTAGGTTGGGCACTCTCAGAGACGGGGGAAAGATCTGAAACTCCCCTTTGAGCAGAGCCTCGAAACCAGCGCCTGGCTTCGTTTGTCCAGCTCCCTGTGGGAGCTGACAGGTTAAGTGGGGATCTTGTGGGCTCAGGCACCCCAGGTTTTAGGGAGAGAGTGGAAACTGTGGCACCCTTGTTGGGATTTTAAGTACTTCAGTAGTATGCAAGTGTCTTCTGAAGTATTTTTTTCTGAATCAAGGCCTGAAATAAAACTTAAGAAAGTTGTTCATGTGATCCAAACTCTCTAATCTTTTTTTTTTATGTCTAGTTGCATGAAACAATCTATAGCTGTATCTGCTGTGTAATTAGATAACCTGAAATTGTTAATTGCCTAATATTTTGAAAGTGAAATGTATTTTAACCAAATACAAATCAACAAACATAAACAACCCTAGGAATCAATTTGGCTGTTCTGTAGAAAAGGAATGAGAAGCAATATGTGTCCAGATGTCTTTTTCTCTTAATTTATCTCAGTCATGAGTCAGGTCTGTAATATGATGGCTATGTGCATTTTGTTTCAGGGGGAAGCTGGCTTAGTAGGTGCTCCTGGCATACCTGGTCTTACTGGTTCCAAGGTAAAAACAAAACAAAACAAAACAGAACAACAACAAAAAAAATGCAACCCACAAAAAAATTCTGTCTCATTTTATACATTTTCACTATCAATGCCCTTTTAGCCAGCTGTCCCATGTCTGCATAAATTGTATTTGAATTGCATATCCAGTTTTTGAGTTGTGTAATGTGGCAGAGGAACTTTACTACCAGCTCTTTCAAAAGAGAAAGAATGTGTGGTGCAGTGGCACCAACCTGCCTATCAGTATTATTTTGCATTAAGAGCAGTTGCCTAAGTCTCAGAACTGTGCAGGTCTTTCCAGCCACAAGATAACAGCTTCAAAAATTTGAAATCTGAATGTCTTGTGATCTCAGCAAAATGAGATGAGGGACAGTACTGCTTCTTCCACTCTTCCATTTCAATATTTGCTCCTTTGCAGAGGTGGAATGCTGTAGGAAGGCCAGAACTTGCAGAAAGAGACATCTGTATTATAGACCTTGCTGGCAATATTTGTTAAAGTTGCCTGACTCTTTTCATGGTCAGATTTTGTTTTCTGTTGATTGCAGCTGTGTTTAACCATAAGTATTCGGAATGAAATCTTAATGTCACATCCATCTGTCCAACTAATTCCTTTTAGAAAATTGTAGGGGAAATAGTTCTGCTGCTTCCACAAATTAAGGGACTACACACACAAAAAAAAGTTACAGTGTTCATACTAAAATTTCAAGAAAGTGTTCTGCAGCGTGACCTTGATGCCAAGGGCTGAATTGTGTATCTTTAGGGCAGATAATTCCTGTAATATAGCATGAAGGGAAGGAAGGAACGTATTTTCTGCAGATGAGATAGCCGGCATTGAGTTCCACAACATGCTTACCACGATCTATCAATTTATATGTTCAAAGCCAGGATGTCATTGACTTGTACTGCAGGCATATTTAAAACACTGAAAATCAGATCAGCAGTCCTGCAGTGTGAGTATCCAGACAGGTAATCAGTGATTGTCCATGAAAAAGCTTTTGTGAAATGTTTTACCTAACTTAATATGAGAATTCTGCCACAGAAAGGAGAATTAAGTCCGTCATGAATGTGTTGTTTTGCAACTTCCACATTTTTATTTCTGCAACATTTGGATTCTTTGAAGTAACTTACCAGTGGCTAATACTCTTTTATTTGTAGTGCTGTCAAGTGGAAAATACCTAAACTTCTTTCTCTGTGCTTTCTGTTGATTATATTTGTTATTTTCTTTAATTGGACATAATTTTTTAAAATACAAATATGTGCAAAAAAATCTGGACACTTAGACTGTATTTCTGAAAAAGAAGGAATTAGTTAATCAGCCCATACATTGGTACGGGCAGAGCACTGACTGGTCGAGCAGCAGCATTGCTGAAAAGGACCTGGAGCTAGACATGAGGCTGAACTACAAGCTAATGGTGTTCTCGTATTGGGAATAAAGTGAGCCACATAGTGGACTACATTACTAAAGTGCAGCTGGCAGATCAGGGGAAGGTGTTTTTCCCCCTTTGCTTGGTGGTGCTGCATTAGGTATGCTGTGTCATGTTTGGGTGGTCTTCCACCCTCACTTCTTGAAGAGATGTGGAGAAACCAGAGAGTGTCCAGCAGGGAGCTGGTGTATGTTCAGGGGCCTGGAAAACAAGACCTTTGTGGAGAGTTTCAAGGAGCTAAGTCTGAGTCTGGCAAAGAGGAGGCCAAGGAGCGATTGAGGCTGTCCTGCAAGCCTAAGGAGCCCAGCTGGCTGATCTTCAAGGACAGGTTCCTAAAATCCCAAGAACAGTCCATGCTGATGCGCAGGGAGTTGTGTGAGTATGGCAGAAGGCCAGCATGGATGAACAAGGGGATCCTGACTCAGCTCAGACACAAAAAGAAAGTAAACAGTGGAAGCAGGAGTGAGCTACCCAGTAGGAATATAAAAACATTGCCAGAGCATGTGGCGATGGAATTAGGGAACCAAAAACTCATTTGAAATTGAAACTAATGAGGGATTTGAAGGGCAGCATGAAGGGCTTCTGTTAAGTGCATCTGTAGCAAAAACAAGGCTGAAGAAAATGTTGACCCACTGCTTAATGGGGTGGAGGACATGGAAAAGGCCAAGAGTACTTGATGCATTTTTGCCTTGATTTTCACTAAATAAAGTTTGCCCTTGGGCTTCTCAGGTTACTTAAGCCTCCTAGCAGAGTGTGTGAGAATGAACTGTTGCCCACCGAAGGGGAAGAGAGTGTTAAGGAGCACTTAAACTACTTGGATGTTTGCAAGATACCAAGCAGTACGCATCCAGGGGTGCTGAGGGAGCTGGCTGATGTCACTGTGAGACTGCTCTTTGTCATTATCAAGAGATCATGATGAGTAGGGAAGGTCTCTGATGACTGGAAACAGGCAGACAGGGAACTGCAGGCCAGTCAACCTCACCTCTGTCTCTAGAAAGATTATATAGCAAATCCTGGAAGGCATTTCTAAACCCATGATTAGAAGATGACTGGAACAACCCATATGGATTCACTGAGGATGAATCATGCCTGGGCAACCTGATTGCCTACTCTAAGATGACTGCCTGTGTAGATTAGGGGAGAGCAATGGATGCTGTATACCTTGCCTTCAGCCAGGCTTTTGGCACAGTCTCCAGTCCTATCATTGTAGTCATATCTGTGAGATATGGACTGGATAAATGGACAAAAAGGTGGGTGGAAGATTGGTTAGATCGTTGGGCTCAAAGGTGGAATAACTGCTGTGCAGTCCAACTGCTACCTAGTAACTAGTGTCATCCCCCATAGGGTGATACTGAGGCCAGTATTATTTAGTGTCTTATTAATAAACCTGGATGATGGGATTCTCAGCAAGTTCATGGATGTTATCAAATGTGCAGACTGTGCACTGGAAGGCAGGGCAAGAATGACATTCAGTGAGACCTCAACATGCTGGAGAAAGGAGCTAATGCAGAACTCATGGAGTTAAGCAAAGGCAAATGTGAGGTCCTGCCTCTGAGAAGGAGTAACCTTATACAACAGTATAGGCTAGGTGCCGAATTGCTAGAAAGGAGCTCTACAGAGGAGGAGTTGGGCATCTTGCTGGGTGCCTTTCTGGTTAAGGCCAGCTGCATCTTGGGCTGCCTTAGCAAGGGCATGGCCAGCAGATCAAGAGGAGTGATTGGCACTTGTGAGACCACATCTGGAGTTCTGTGTCTGGTTTGGAGCTCCCCAGAAGAGGATAAAGAGCAACTCATTGAGGCAAGCCCAGTGGAGGCCCACCAGGACAGCCAGGGGCTTGGATCCCATAATGTACAAGGGAAGGCTGAGGGAGCTGGGTTTGTTGAGTCTTCAGATGAGATGATTTGGAAAGGGGGAAGGTGGTATGCAGACTCATTGCTGTCTGTAAGTACTGGGGGGGAGCGGAGAAGCCAGAGCCAGACTCTTGTCAGGGACGTACAGTGAAAGGACAAGAGCAAATGAACACAAGGTACAACCAGAGAAGTTTTGACTCTGTCTAATTTTTTATATAATGAATTGGGATTTGAGTAAAGACAGGATATGCAGTCTCACAAATGGGAAAGCTAAATGAAGAAAACACTTTAGTTCTAGGATTTTGTCAAAAGCCAATAAGCATTAGCGGTATTGTATGTCCAACAGCTGGAGGACAATGGGAATCATAGAACAACCCAGGTTGGAAGGGACCTCAAAAGATCATCTGGTCCAACCTTTCGTGAGAAAGGGAAACTACATGAGCAAGACAGAAATTATTTCAGTAATTAACCATTCATTTTTAGGTGAGGACATATGGAAGGTTATTTTGCTAGATCTAATTTTGTATGCTTCTAAAATTGACCCCGAACTTGTTGATTGCGTGAGCTACCCCAGCCAAAAGAAGCAAACAAAAAGCAGCCACTGTAGGTGGTTGATGAAAAGTCCAGAAGTATTTGGTAATCTATGCATCTGCACACCTCCAAAGCTTTGAATTTAATTCCCAGGTGTGTAGTGCATGATGCTATATCAGTTGAAAGATTTGACAAAATGCTGATAGAAATTTTGCAAGTTGTAGCCTGCTGTTCTAGTTAACCTCACTTAAACCTTAGACTTCTATATAAGGAAATGACACTCTCTGAAGGGTAAAAGAATGCTTAGACATTGCTCATTCTAATTTTTGAAAGTAATTTAGGAAAAACCATATGCTTTACTTTGGAAATTGTCCAGTCTTTTCATCTTCAGACCTGTAAAAATCATGTGGATCGTACTGAGACAGTGAGACTGAATTCTAGAAGACTGACAAAGACACCCAAACCATCTCCTGCTAGATGATTTGAGGGAGAAAGACAATGTCTAGGGTATTTTAATTAGGTAGTTTTTATGCTACAAGTATATGATTTTTGGCTGTATGTCTGCCGTATTTCTCACAAAACATACCAATATACGTTAATAAAGATCTAAAACAGGTGTTATTCTTGTTATAATATAGCCAGGCTGCAGACTATTTGATGAAGACATTAACATAGTAAGGTTGTACATTAAGATCTTCTGAGCTAAACGTTACCAAATTGGAGCTGGAAGAGCATTATAACAGGTCTCTTTATTGAAAGATCATCAAATAAAGACTTCAGTCTGCTGAAATAAGCTGAGCTTGAATTAATATTTCAAAATTCAGCCCTTCTGGTGGTTTTTTTTTTGTTTTAGTTGTGGTTTTGTTTTGTGGGTTTTTTTTAATACTTTCAAAGTGAAAGGAATAAATTTTCTTTCAGTAAATTGTATCTGTGTATTTTTCTCAGTTGTTACGGGTTTTGGAATCCTTCACAACTGACTAGTCATATTTAAAAATTAAAATGAAGGTATTAATGGGAATAAATGTATTAAAACTGGTTCTGCAGAAGAATAGCGGGACTGTAATGAGTGGGTTTAGCATCAATGAATAGTTCAGAATTTTTAAAGCCAAGAAGACCCCTTAGGCTGAATGGAAAAATGATTGACTAGTTAATCGACAAAACCGTGGAAAGCCGTGTCATTTCTTTGTAGAGGTTTCACACCTTTTTGAATGAGACACAGTCAGTGTCCAAATGATTTCTTCTGTTTTAATCCCATAATAAAAAAATCAGTGCAATAAAACTGTTTGAAAGAATGCAATTATTTGAAGAATATTTATGTTTGAGATTTTTATTTTATTGTTTCCTGTTCCAGGGTGAACGTGGTTTTGCGGGTAGTAAAGGTGAAGAAGGTGAAAAGGTAAATTATTCTGTCCATGTTATTTATTTTTTTAGGTTTAGCAATTTGACACCAGACCAACCAGATAAGGCTTTGTTCTGAAGAGCTTCCTTAACTCTTTCATGAATAAATTTTTTTTTTTTTTTTTTTTTACTATGTTAATGATTCCTGAAATGCTTAAGAATAAGGAGGGGTTTTGCATGTTAATCGGTGTCAGCAGTACTTCTTTTAGAAGCACTTTTTTTTTTTTTAAGAAAAGATTTAATAATGAAGTCTAACAGACTCATAACCACTGGACTCCAATAGTGTTTACTGCTATTTTATTTCCATGATAACTAGTAAATGTTTATTTATACAGTATGAAATGTATGATGAGATGATGTGTAGGTATTTATAGCACTTAACTGTTGTTTTTATACATTACAAATGCACTTTATTGAAACTTATTGTGTTGATCGTAACTACTGTTTTACACACTTTTTTCCTAAGAATATAAATTTACTGCAATAACAAAATTTGACATTTGCTACAGTATAACTGACCACCAATTAAAAAAGATTAATTTTCATTTATGTACTTCTGTGTGCCTACGGAGTAGGTAACGTGAGTTTTGCCTCCTGCACGCATCTGACTCAGGGTGAACTGACTTGTCTACCGGTGGCCAAGCTGGATGCAGGTGCATTTACCTCTTCCTTAGACTGGAAGTTCAGTTCCTTGGCCTGATGGAGTGGCATGTTGCCCTAAGGATGGTCTTAGTCTCCTGACAGCCATAAAATGTTTCCGAGTAAAATCCAGGAGAAGCCTTTCCTTGCTCTTCACCAGTGGGTATCAGAAATAAAGCTTGAAGCAGTTTGTCCTGATTGCAGCTGCTCTGCAGAGGCCAGAAATAGTTCAAAAGCTTGTGCATTAAAATGGGAACTAACCTGGCCCTGGGAAGGCTGTCCTGGCTGACAGAATGCCAGCCTGGGTGGCTCGGGGTGGTGCAACCCAATCTTCTTGTGTGGCTGCAGACAAGTAGGTCATCAAAGGCCAGTCTGTGGTGAGGGACAAGTGGAAGGAAGAGCTTGTTCTTAGCTTGCCTAGTAGGAATTAAAGTAACCGTGGTGATAGTTTATGGTTGAAACTTCAGCTCCTAACCATGTTACTGCCTGGTTACTGTTTTTTCACTAGTTTTGACTGATTTGGATTAGGCAACCTGAGTTAAGCATCTTTTCTTGGGTTGTAGATAGTTTCTCTGTGCTCCAGCTCGCTGTCTGGAAAAGGTGCAGAAAAGCATTTCTGCTGAATTTATGTATCATAAAGATGAAGAACAGCAGATACTGCTATTCTGGCAATACTCAGACTGAAGAAAATGGAGAGTATATGGCAGCTTCTGAATTTAAAAAAGTGCAATATATTTGTGAGTTAGGCTGCTTTGGACATGGGTATATTCACTCACCCACCATACCTCTTCAGAAGTGTCAGCCAGCTTTCCAATGTTCATATTTTAAAGAAAGCACGTTCTGCATTAACAGAATTTAAGCAGATTTAAAATTGTGAAGGTTTTTTTAGGAGGAAGTATTCCAGTAACCAGGAAGGAAGAAGTATCAGAACTAAAAACCAGCATCCATAGCAACTAACATTTATAATGTGAAGATTCAGCCTGTTAAAAAAAAGCACTTGTTAAGCTTGAATGTTTCTAACTCCACTGACAGATCTGGTTTCCTTGGTGGAATCATTATTCATCTGTTCTGAAGGGCTTGTGGATTTTTTTTTTTCTGTAATTGCTCTGCAGCTGTGCTGTGCTTTCCTCGAGTTTTATGAATAATTTGTGTTTGAACACTGGCACGTGGTTCCAGCTGTTGCTGCCACTCTCTTTGCTTGACTTCCCTTGTTCTAAGGCAGCGGTAAACTGACCCAACCACTGGTAGTCACATTTCTCTTATCTGGAAGCTGAGTCAGCACATTTAGACTTCCCCCCCCCCCCCATTTGTCTTGTAACTTCAGGAGTTAATGAAAAGATCCCATTTAAAAGTATTTCCAGTGTAACTATTAACAACATATCCAGCTGTCCTTCAAATAAAGGAAATATATGAGTGGAAGGATCTTTATTTACCAGTGATCACTCAAAAATAATTTGCAACAGTCTCATCAGAAGCTACACATTGTGATTTGTGAGGAAGGAGTGTGTTTTAAGATCGTGGGAAGTAGGTCTCAGCCTGGGCTTTAGTGGTTACTCCATTTAACCTTGATTCACATAATTATTGAAGAACAACAATGCTGAGTTACTAGTTACTGAACTCTGGTATTAAAAATGTATCAACATCTTTGCATTTTAACATAGCATCAGAAAATGAAATAGTTGTACTAGTTTGTGTGTAACAAACGTAATTAAAAAGCCTGAAACTTAAAATTTTATTTTTCCTAATACAAAAAACTCTTCCTCAGCTTGTTCATTAAGGAACAAGCTAGTGTTTGCACACTCTGTTTTGCATATCACTGAGGGTGGGGCACAGCTGCCCAAACATGGAGTATTTGCCATTCCAAGCTCTCAGCGGAAGTACATTAAAATGAACAATCTTACATTTTTGTTTTGGTGACCGTATCGTTCCGCAGGGTTGAATACTTGAAACCAACTCAGCTTCTCGGTTCACCAGATCAACTTAGATGACTTTGGCTTTTATTATGCTATGTTCTGCTTTGGCAGAGCAAGCTCTGGGGACATCAGGGAGATGAAGGCAACTAGGGCGAAAGTGAGTGATCGTATGTAAATTAAAGATACGGGAGGCATCTATAATTTAAACTATTAAGGTAAATTCCTTTAGGCTGTTTAAAGGTTTCTTTGCCACTCTTGGTTCTCCTTGAGGAATCCAGAAGTCTTGTTCTGCCTTCCTCCTTTTTTTGGTCTTGTTTGAACTTGATTCTCTCTACAGAAGCCAGCAGTGGTAAGGGAAGCTATGGACTGTGTGGGCAGGTGTTATGCTGCAAGTCTTCCCTCCATGGGAAATACACTCTCACTGTAAATTTGTTTTAATTCTCCTTTGTATTCCATTTTCGTTGTATTACTTAGATAATGACATTGTCTTGCATGATAGTCTTACAGCTGAAAAAAAAGTACATTGGTCTACCCTTCTATAGCATGACTGAAAAAGTATATGCTGAGCGCAGTTTTAATTGATTTGCTGCCAGGAGGGCAGACTACATCGTGTGCATCTGCCCTCGTTCTGATACGGTTCAGAATTGTAATTTTACAGTATGGGATAGAAAGTATGAGTATTGCACTTGATGAGGATAGGAAGTCAGAAGGGACTGATAATAACTAGAAAAAAGCTTTAAAATCCAGAATGTTCTTGGCAAATCAGAGATGTAGCCTGAAAAAAATAGGACCTAGCGCAAAAGGAACAAGTGCAAGGAACTCCCTGTAGGGGAGAATAAATCTGAGCTGCGAAAACCCAAATCGAGCAGTATCTGCTCAGAAATCAAAATCTGAGGATTATTTGGATCAGCAGCTGAACACAGGTAAATGAATTCAGGCAGTTGCAAATGAAAGACTCTTACTAAGATGACTTAAAGTAGAATATTGTTTGCAACACTAATTATATAGTCCTGTGCTGTTTGGTATCAGTAAGGCCTCAACTTACAGGGTTTTGAAAAGAGAGCACTGAGAATGCCTGGTGCTCAGGAACACATAACCTTTGAGGAAGGATTGCATGAATGAAGATTACTTAGTACAGAGTCAGCTGAAAAGAAATATGTAAACAGTCTTCACATACCTAACACTGCTGCAAAGAGGAAGGGAATGGTGTAGTGCATGCAAAGCGACGGGCTGAAAGTGCAGCAGGGAACATGCTGTGTAGCCATTAGGAAAGGGGTTTTAATTTTAACACTGTTGTTTATTATGGAAGTAATTTCCTCTTCCAGTGGTCTGCATTTCTTATCCTGGTTACAGAAAAGGGAATAAACTAAAGAAAGGCTTGCTTCGTGAAAATACAGGAGGTCAGATTGTCTAAATGATTTTACCATTTTCTGTTAATAGCATCAAAATTATGCAAGGTATCACTTATACTAATTTCTAATTGGATAAGCACGGAGAACAGCAAGGTGGTTTCTTTTGCAACGTATATCCTTGTTTGTTTCAATGCCCAAGTAATACTTCTCTGTGAGAGGGCAGTAAAGCTCTGGAACAGGTTGCCCAGAGTGGTTGTGCAGCCTCTTTTCCTTGAGGTTTTCAAGACCAGCCCTGAGCAGCCTGACCTGGCCCCATCGCTGAAGCCTGCTTTGAACAGGAGGTTGGATTCCTGAGGGCACATCCAGCCTCAATTATCCTGTTATTTTATGGATAGTGAACACGAATGTGATATTTTTCTGATTCGACACGTGTTCACATTACAAAATCCATGTAAAAAGGGAGAACAACAAAAAATTATAGTAGTTTGGGGTTTGGGTTTTGGGTTGGATTTTTTGTGATTTTTTTTTTCTTTTTCTTTTTTTTTTTTAATGTTGGTGGGGGTGGGATGTGAATGTGCATTTAATTTAGAGTATGGACTAATATTGTTCACCAGAATATGTTATAGGCATCTTTTTTAAGACGTGTATGTACATTCACACACTCCTGTTTTGGAGCATCACATCTGGGAGTGACCAGTGCCCTTGCATAAATATCTGATCACCTGCCAGCTGATGCAGTCTTCCTCATAGAAGCTGTTGTGGAACACTTGTTTGGGTAGCATTGTACATCGTTGTTTGGATGATGGGTGGGTATACATTCTCTAGGATGTTTTTAGCTTAGGTTTGCTGAAACCCTGTGAAACAGTTTATTTCCAATATAAATAGTTACAAAATAAATTTTTCAACACAAATGAAATCTAAAGGTGTGGTGTCTTCAAAATTTGTTACGTATGGAAAAAAAAGGAGAATCTTAAAAATTATTAACATGAAAATTGCCATGCAGCTGTTGAGGTGTCTGATCACAGCTCCATTCACCTGAGCTGTGGCAATTACCATAGCTGAAGTTTTGTCCCTGCATCTTCTAAATACAATTT